GTGTCCCATTTCACAGCAAGAAATACTGAACACATTTACATAATGAGCTTTTGCAGCAGAAAGGATGACTGCACGGGCAGATTTCCCCATAAAGTTTCCATAATTATAAGAAGAGATGGAAGGCTTGGTGTGAGGAATCGACGTGAACGTAAACAGCAGGAAACTGCCTCAGCTGAACAATTCTTGATTTATAAAAGGGAGAAGCGCCTTGGGTTCCACACAGGGGGTGTGGCCTAAAGATAACTACATAATACGTTGCCTTGTGATAGAAATGGGAAATTGTGAGTAAGCGTCCTCAACTGGATCTTCCCCACCCACTTCCCTCTTTGCAGGTAGCCAAGATAGGAGAGCCCCATTTCTGGATACTTTTATGGAGCTGGTAAAGCATCAACAGTCCTCCACTTACGACCGGAACTTGAGCCCAAAATTTCTGTTGCTCAGTGAGAAATTTGTTAAGTGAGTTTTGCCCCATTATATGACCTTTCTTGCCACAGTTGTTAAGTGATTCACTGGTAAGTTAGTAAAACGCTTGTTAAGTGAATCTTGCTTCCCCCATTGACTTTCCTTGTCATAAGATTGCAAAAGGGGATCACGTGACCCCCCATGAGACATTGCGACCGTCATAAATATGAACCAGTTGTCAAGGATCCAAATATAAATCACATGACCATGGTCAGGAGTAGGCAACCTGGGCTCTTTTATGACTTCAACTCCCAGAATTCCTGAGCCAGCCACGCTGAGGGGAAAGGGAGAGGTTTCCAAGCTGAGCCATGCTGGCGCTTCTTCTGGGCCCAGCTGGATCCTGGCGCTGATCCTGGGGCTTCCACTGAGCCCTGACAGCCCTGCAGCTCCAGCCGTCTCTCGCTTAGGCTCATGCAGTGCTGCCACCGGTTCAGCTCATTCCCCTCCCCCGCTACCCCTTTTCTAGGATGGTCGCGTACCACCTGCCAGGTGCCCATGTACCATAGGTGGTACCCGTACCACTGGCTGAAAAGCCTTGGGTTAAGGCACCATACCAGAAAGCAGGAGGCATTTCAGTCCCAGCCCCACCTCAGCCCTAGAAAGCCATCCGAGCAACTTTGGGTCAGTCTCCTCTCTCGGCCAAGCCCTCCTCACAGGGTTGTTGTGGGGAAAATAGGAGGAAGAAGCTGTGTTGGATATGTCTGCCGCCTTGAGTCGCTTGTAGAAACAATAAAGGTGGGATATAAATAAATGAATAACGTACTTCAGCCATTGGGTTTCTTCTGACCTCAGCATATGCTCCAAGGATCTCCATCAAGCTGTTCCGTGAGAAGAGCAACTTCTGGATTTTTGCCAGACCAATTGGCAAAGCACTATCAACAAACAGCCTTTGCTAAAAGTTAGATTAAGAGTACATCTTTCTCTTGCTTCATCTCCGGGTCCAAAGGGGACCCGGATTTCAAAACTTTGGGTCATCAGATCTGCTCTGCCCCACTAAGCCTTTTGTTCTCATCAAACCCCTTGATACGAAGACCCCGTTTTTAAGATATCAGAAGTCTTGAGTGTGCTGGTAGTCAAGAACCATGAAGAAACTACTTGAGTGCTGGAGATGCCAAGAAATGAACCAACAATTCATTTGATCACTTCGCCCAACTTGATGTTGTCCACAGATCTCCACTCTACCAGCCACGAGGACGTTGGGAACGTCTGCAGGATTTCCACATACGTTGTGGGTAAAGCTTCAGTAGAAAAATATAGGTAGATACAACGCAAAGGCATTCTTGAGTTTCAGCAACTTACACAGGTGCTGGTTTTGTTTTCTATCTTGCAACCACAAAATGAGACGAGTAATCTGCCGTTTCAATCAAGAATGCTGGTGCTCCAGTGGCATCAGCACTTGGTTTTCTTTGGAACACGCGCGCCAGTAAAATTCACCCCAAAATCAACCATAATCATGTTGGTTCATGGAAGGAAGAGGATCCAGAGTCTACCACTTCCAGTGAACCACAGTGAGGGAGAATGTGCAAGCTTTCCAGCCCTGTAAGATTCTTCATCAGGCAAGATTTTATGAAAAGGAGGCTATGAAGAAGAAACGCAGAGAGTCCTCAACTTACCACCACAGCTGAGCCCCGAATTTCTGTTGCTAAGCAAGGCAGTTGTTAAGTGAGTTTTGCCCCCTTTTATGACCTTTCCTGCCATAGTTGTTAAGTGAATCACTACAGGCGAGTTAGTAACATGGTTGTTAAGTGAATCTGACTTCCCCACGGATTTTGCTCGTTGGAACGTGGCAAAAGGGGATCACGTGATACTGCGACCGTCATAAATAAGAGCCAGTTGCCAAGCGTCTGAATTTTGATCGCATGACCAGGGGATGCTGAAATGGTCAAAAGTCACTTTTTTCAGTGCTGCTATAACCTTAAATGGTCACTAAATGAAAGGCTGTAAGTCGAGAACTACCGTAAGTGAGCTCAGTCATTAGATCACATCTTTTAGCTGTTGCTAAAGGGGGAGCAGGGGGTTGGACTAGAAGACCTCAAAGGTCCCTTCCACCTCTGTTATTGTCATTGTTATACAGTTACGCGCTCCCAGGTTCGGCTTGTGGTCACTCACACAGCCCTGGTTAACAGCCACACTCAGATCGCTTTCAAATGAACACCGAGGCACAAACGGTTCATTGGAGTACTTGGAGACCCAGTGAATTTAAAATAACCAACTTTATACTGGCCACAGTGCTCTGTCTCTCTTTTACACACACACACACACACACACACACACACACACACACACACACACACACACATCTATCCATATCCTTGGGTAGGTTGGCTCACACTAGTCATGGGACTTGGCAACAGCCATGGGTTTATGATCGTGGGTTTATGATCATGGGGGGGGGTGTCACGTGATTGCCATCGGGACTTTCCCAGCCAGCTTCCAATGAGCAGAGTCAATGGGGGGGGGAGCTGGATTCACTTAATGACCATCGCATGAATCACTTAACAACTGTAGTGATCCTCTTAATAATGATAAGCAAGGTTGTAACATCAGGCACAAGTGACTTAGCAACCGCCTTCCTTAGCAACAGAAATTCTGATCCCAACTGGGATCATAATTTAAGGACTCCCCATGAGAGCTGAAACAGAAGGACCAGTAGTATAATTTAACTCTTAGTAGGCCAGGTACGCATGGTGTTGGTCTCCTTGGGTTCAGTGAAGCTAATGTGCAAAGCAGAATAACCAAGTTGGAAGGGAGCTTAGAGGTCTTCTAGTCCACCCCCTGCTAGAGTTTTGAAGATAACTAGGCAGAGGAGGAAAAGATTCGGTTTTTAAGGGAGTGATAAATTATGATTTGTACCACATGAGTTTGCCTCACATGACATAAGGATCTTTTCAGTTTAGATTTTGGATGTGATTAATAGTCAAGGGTTTTATCTGCTGTTCACCCAGGCATCCCTTCGCTCATTAGATGAAATCACGCCTTTCCTCAGAAAACATCAGGCACACGGTGCCTGACGTTCTCCTCAACGGTTTGTCTCCTCAACAACCAGCTTGTAATGGGGGGGGGGGGGCTCAAAGTCCCCTGGTAAGTTTCCGTAGCTGTGAGTGGACTTGAAAAACAGGCTCTTCCTCATCCTTTTTCCAGTACTTCCAATTCTGACATCGTACCGCCTTTTTTGAATAATATTTTTTACTTATATTCCACTTTGCTCTGCCAGTTTTCAGAACTGGTTACCAGAATGTATGTGGTGGGTGGGTGGGGGGAATTATGGCCTTTTTATGACCTGTGGACACCAACTCCCAAAATTCCATGCTGGCTCAGAAATTCTGGGAGCTGAAGTCGTAAAGAGGCCGTAGTTGCCCATCCCTTGGTACCGAGTACTGCTCTTGAGTTAGTACAAAGGGGCTATAGGTTTAAATTCAGTGTATGTGCAGAATTTCAAGTTAGGAGCGCCAGTTTGTTATGGTTAAGATATCAGGCTAGAAACTGGGTGATTGGAAGTTCTAGTGCCACCTTGAGCACAAAACCAGTTGGGTGGTCATGGATCAGTAACTTTCTCTTAGCCCTAGGAAGAAGCAGGTAAGGGCAAACCACTCAATCGCTCAACCTCCTGGCTCAAATGCCGGTTGAGTAAGCCTTTTTCTGCTGCCCCATCGTTCTTCAGGCATCTGACCACTTTGTCAGTCAAAAGACGTGGCTCGTGTGTGGCTCATTGGCAGGGATGGCTCTCTCAGCAAGAGAAGTAGGGACATCTGGGGCTAATGTCTTGGAACCCCACACCTCTCCTCTCACACTCACCTCATATCAAGGTGTGGAAATGGAATCATGGCCTCTGGGCTTCAAAAGATCCCCCTGCCATGACTCAACTTCCAGGCAACTCTACCCAGATGACAGAGAATTTTTTTTATAACAAGGTAAATAAAATGAATTATGATCCCCGTGTGTGTGTGTGTGTGTGTGTGTGTGTGTGTGTGTGTGTGTGTGTGTGTCTATCACAGGCCATTTAGAATATGTAGCAGAAAAAAGAGTCGAGAGTTAACAAAGTTGACTCAATACTGTATTGAGTGGTATAAAGCTGTTACAGAATCTAGTTGTTCTGCTTCGGCTACTGTGAAGCCTCTTCCCAGAAGGTAACAACAACAACAACAACAACAAAAACTGGACATGGAAAGGATGTGTAGCATTCCAGAGAATCCTGGGGGCCCTGGTCAAGCAATGCTTATATTCCATGTCCTGGATAGAAGGAAATGAACTACCAATACTCTTTTCTGCTGTCCTCACCACAGCCTTCCTGTCCAAAACAGTAATACCTCCAAACCACACAGTAATACAATACAAAAGTATAAAAGTATAAATAATAAATTAGATTTTGCTTGCAATTTGGGTGGCTGACGGTGACAGGGAATCTAGGGTGAATCTTGTATCAGGTACTGTTGGAAGGAGTCCGTTGGGTTTATAGAGGAGGTCGGGGGATAGAAGATCTCCTAACTTAAGCCGATTGATTGGATTACACTTTGAAACCATCTCCTTATCTTTTAAAGGGTGCAGCAGCCGGACTCCTGTACGTCGGCGCACACATCCTCAACGCTTACAAGGAATACGACTCTTTTCTTCAGAACCGAGATGCTCTTTTGCCCCCCATCATTATCATTGGGGTTGCTCTGGTCATGCTGGTCATTGGCATACTTGGCTGCTCTGCCACCCTCCGTGAATCCAAGATTGGCCTAGGAGTGGTAAGAATAAGGCCTGGCGCTGGTGGCCCCGCTTATAATAACACCATTGCATGAAGGTGATGCTGGAAGTGGGCAATGAGATGATCCCAGTCCCAGTCCCTCCGTTCCTGGACTCTTGCGGTTGCCTAGTAGGAAGGGATATTTTTTAGTAAATTAATGAGATTCAAATATTCCAGAAACCCCTGAAGTTGGTCAGCTAGCTTGAGGGTTAATTCCATCATGCCAAAATGTCTAAAAAACCCTTTTGCCTACAACTTGAAAATGTGTGGACTTCAACTCCCATAATTCCACATATCTTGAAAGAGGGTAGATCTGTCCACAGAACAGCCAAGTCTTCCAAAGGTTGGTTTGTTGGCCACATCTGGGGAAGATCAGATGTGTCTCTGCTTCTTAAGTCTTCTTTTCTTTCTTCAGTTCTTGGTCATCATCCTGCTGATCTTCACGGCAGAAATAGCCGTCTTTGTGCTTGGATTTATTTTCAAAGGAAAGGTGAGTGAAAATATCCAGGTAATGAAACAACCACAGGTCATCCTCACCTTGCAGCCAGTCACTTAATGATGGGTTCAAAGTTATGTGGACCCTGAAAAAAGTGAACTAAGAAATACAAACAGCAAAAAGCTAGATAAGAATTTAAGAAAGATATAAACGGATTAAAAAAAGGAATCCTTGCAGATTTTATTCCCTCAGTTGTTGCCAACTATAGGGAGCGGGGAATTTTTAGCGGGGTTTTAAAAACAATTTTAAATTAAAAATGGCCAAATCTAATATTTTATTTTAATTGTTTTTAATGATAGTTTTGGGGTATTTTTGTATCTCTTTTTATCAGGCTGTCAGCCGCCCTGAGTCCGCAAGGAGAAGGGCGGGGTAAAAATTTAATTAAATAAATAAATAAATAAATAAAATCTCCATTTCAAGGCCACGGAGCCAGTGCTATCCGAAGATATTTCAGTGGCCATGTGGTCAGCACGACCTCACGAAGTGCTGTTAGCTTCCCATTGAAGTGGTACCTGTTTATCTACTCGTATCTGCATGCTTTCAAACTGCTCGGTTGGCAGGAGCTGGGGGCGAGGGTGGGAGCTCACCCCATTGCATGGCACTCGGGTCTCAAACATGGGCTGTCGGCTTTCCAGCCAGCAAGCCCAGCGCCTTAACCGCTGAGCCACTGAGGCCGCCATAAATGGACTAACAGACTAGAAAAACTTGGGACCTTGAGATTCAGTGGTTAAATAATCATGTGTTGCCTTTTTAAATTGGGTCACCGGTGCTTAAACCTTTTATTTGCAGCTGGAGAGAAGGACAGCAAAACCTGGTTGTTTAGTAGTATATGCAAATCTTGCCTTTTTAAGGCTTGATGCTTTCCGTTGCATTTCAGATGGATGAAAAGATGTGAGGTAATAACAATCTGGGTGCCTTTCTTTTCTTGCCACAGATAGCAGCCGAGTTCCATGACTCTCTGTCGGAATCCTTTGCAGCCTACAATGGAGAATCAGAAAACTCTCATAGTGTAGATTACCTGCAGCGGGAGGTAGGAAAACTGGTCTTTCACTTTATTTTTGCAACATTCAGCTGAAGTTAACAGTATAAAATATTCAATACGTTGGTTGTAATTTTTTTTAATTAATATATTCCATTTTAGTATCTTTTTTTCAGCACATAGGTTGATCGTTTTAGTGTCATGATGAATGGCTCGGCGTGAAAGATCTCATCTGTTAGGGTTGCAAAGGAGATGTTTTTGCTTCCAAAGTAATGATTGCATTTAAACAAGTATTTCCTCATCATGTGAAAATCATAACATTCTCAATACATTCTTGTTCCAAAAATTAGTTATACAGTGCTGATACTCTATTTAAAGAGTGTATTTCAGAGACTAGTCACTGTATGTATTGGGTTTTCATCAGTGGGATTAATCTTTCACAGAACATAACGAAGAATGTGGTCGAATCTTTAATAAAACTGAGGAAAGGTAAAAGTCTGTTTGGTCCTTAGTTAGGAGGCCCTGAAAAATAAAGGCTAGACAAGAAAGGAGGCCATGAAAAACAACTTTGGTAGCAGTTTTTTTTCTTTTCATTGTGAAGCATCAGCATCAATAGTTTGATATTTCTGGAAAGTTCTCCAGCATACTGTATCTGGGCAGGAGTCTCCACAACACACAGTTGCCAATTTCCAAACTTGATTGAGGTGTTTCCCCAAGGATGAAGAGAATCAGTATATTGTGTTGTGGCTCTTATTGAGCATTCCTTACGTGGCCCTGTCCAGATGCAAGGAATTCTGGGACTTACCATTCTGGCCCATCTGGTGGGTGTCACTTTCTGGAGAAGCAGAGCTCCAGGGATGAGCCCTCAAAGCCTCAAAGGCAAACAAACTGAATTGTGGATGCGCCTCTTCTAACCACAATTGCTGCTCTTCCAGCTTCAGTGTTGCGGAGTCCAAAACTACACCGATTGGATTGGTACCCAGTGGTTCAACACTGCAGGCAACCACACTGTTCCTCTCAGCTGCTGCAAGCAAGGCCCGGCTATAAAGAATTGCACAGGACGACTAAGTGAGAAGGAGCTTCTCAACACACAAGTAAGAGCACTCAGGGTTTGCTTGAGTAGGACCAAAGTTGTAGATCCAAGAACTTAAATTGTATGAACCAGCTTCCTAATTTTTTATTTATTTTTTTGCCTATGCTGGCTGTCTTTACTTATCTTATTCTGGTATATATGTTTCCTGTTTCATGTACAAAATTCCTCTAGTTCAGGGGTGTCTTAACTGCCGGCTGTGGGCTGGATGCGTCATGGCGAAACCGCGCCCACCCCATTGCTGGAAAAAAAGTCATGACATGTCACGTGACATTGCAAGTTTGACACCCCTGCTCTAGTTCAATACATGTATGTGGAGATTCTCAGTCATCCAGGTCATGGTTGTCTCAAAGGTGCTTTTTCAAAAGGCTTTTTCAAATACCATGTTTTTAAGAGCCGTGGTGGTGCAGTGGTTAAAATGCAGTATTGCAGGCTGACTCTGCCCGCTGCCAGGAGTTTGATCTTGATGGGTCAACCTTCCATCCTTCCGAGGTCAGTAACGTGAGGATCCAGATTGTTGGGGGCAATATGCTGACTCTGTAACTGCTTAGAGAGTGCTATATAAAGCATCGTGAAGCAGTATATAAGTCTAAGTGCTATTGCTGTTTTTTTCCCTTGAGGAAGAAGAAGACATTTTGCTTCTCATCCAAGAAGCTTCATCAGTTCTGGCTGGATGGCGGTGGTGATGGTGGAAATGGAAGTACTCGTTCCAACAGGATATTCATTGGGTGTGTGTGGAAGGATAATATTTCTTTGCAATCTTATAATATATCTGACTGCAAAGAATATAATACCTCCTGTCATAACTAATCCTTCAATTCCCCCCACCATTCAGCCAGAACTGATGAAGCTTCTTGGATGAGAAGCAAAATGTCTTCTTCCTCCTCCTCCAGGGAAAAAACAAAAAACACAGTCCAGTTGCCTTTTGAAAAAGCACCTTGGAGAGTCCTCTCCCTACAAATTAATTTGAAGAAAACTCTTGTCTGCCTGTCCTTTCATATTTATGGATTGAGCTGATGAAACCAATGCATATTATCATTAACTGGTGGAATTCACTGCCCCAAGATGGGGCTTCATCCAATTTGTTTGAGAGGAATAGAATAATCTAAACCCAAGAATGACACATGGGGATCTTCCAGGCTGAGTTCTTTGTTGTTCTCACACTGATAGACAAAATCTTGAAAGACTTGGGACTCTGTTATCTGCATCTACAATATAATCTGGGGGTTATTAGGGAGGAGCCGTGTTCATCCTCTTTCTATCACACATACGGGGTAACATCTGGGCTGAGTTGCCTCTTATCCCTCTGGAAGGCACCCCCTCCCTCCTGGGGATCCACCTTCTCACTAAAGTCCATCATCAGGCCTCTGATTGGCGACTGTGGGAAATAGGAGAATGGACTAGATTGGGGTTTCTCAACCTTGGCAACTTTAAAATGAGAGTCTGTGGAGATCCTCAGTCATCATCCAGGTCACGGTTGTCCCAAAGGTGCTTTTTCAAGAGGCAACTGGACTTTCTTGCTTTTCTCTGAAGTTTCTTCAGCTCTGGTTTCTTGGATGAGAAGCAAAACGTCTTCAAAGAAAAACAAGGTCCAGTTGCCTCGTGAAAAAAGCATCTTTGGGATTCAAGATGAGTGGACGTCAACTCATGGCTGGCTGGAGAATTCTAGGAATTAAAGTCCACCCATCTTAAAATTGTCAAAGATGAAAACATTGAACTAGATGCACTTCTGGGCAGGTCCAGAGGCCTTTGTGTCCTTATCTCTACCAAGTTCTTGTTTTGCACAAAACTCTTGAACTTTTCTACAAAACTCTTTGAACTTATATAATCAGTTCTTCCCCGTCGTCCCCCCTCACTCCAGGGCTGTGAAAAGGTGGTGGATCTACGTGACCTGTTCAACTACGCGATGCTCGTTGTCTTAGCTTTTGCCATTGTGAAGGTATGTGATGGCCAAGTTTGAACCTGCTTTTCAGTTGGGTTATTGTTCAAAGGACATCTGGGGACTGCGAAGAAAGAGCTGCATGACGGACCCCAAATTATTCCAATCCACCTTTCAATCTGAATGGCCGCCTCTTCTCATTCCCATTTCGATTTGTTGGTGTTTTTTTTTTAAAAAAGGAAAAACAACAATACCCAAAATTGGCTATTTCTGTCCAAATGGTGGTGATCCTGGAGGCTTCCTGCAGTCCAGGAGTTCCATAGATGATCCCTAGAGAAACATGGTCTGATCCTGCCAGTCTCTGCTAATGTTCTTTTGATTCTAAAGGTTTTTTTTTCCTTTTCATTTGCTCTTTGGAAAAGACAAAACTCCACCCTCCAGATTAAGTGGAACATTCCACGGGCTCTTCTCTCCCCTTCGAATGTTTAAGCAATAATCATTCGGTTACATTTCTATCTTTGCCTTTTCTAACCTAGTATGTGTCTTTCCAGGGCCAATTATGAAATGGATTAAGTATTTGCTTGGATCTTCCATTATGAGTAATCACACATAGCCGTAATCCACAAACAGCCAGGGGCTTTTTAAGGAAACCCAGAAGTGCAGCGTTGAGGCAGTATTTATTTTATAAATCATGATTTATACTACATGTAGCCAAGGCTTGCTTAGAACTCAGAGTTAGTTTTGCTTCGACAAAACCGTGCAGTATATTCAATAAACAGTAAGATTTTCGGAAATGGAATGAACCTGGAGTTTTATTTGGATTCTCAAGCTGGATGTTGACAGATGGTCATAAAACAGGTCACTCATGTGACCAGCCTGATTTTACAATCTTTTATGTAACAATAATTAAGGGAATACCATGGTTGTTTAACAAGCCATTGGTTTGCTTTGGGCCAGTTTAGCCCCAAACTGGAATAAATGGCTGTCAAGCACATGCAGTCACAGAACTGCAGGGGAGTATTGGAACTTCAAATCTAGGTTGTGAGCACCCCCCAAGGGAAGTCTGCCCGAACTTAAAATGGTTGCTAAGCAACTGGTCATAAATTGAGGACTACCTATAATCCAGAATTTGTAGAGGACACTCAGAAGGGCAAAACTGAATTTGACAGACACAGGAATGAAAATTAATAGTGGTGGAGAGACTATTAAGGGTCAGATTTGAGAGAAGAGCAATCTATTTTAAAACTGTAAATTCTGTACAGGTTGCCAAGAATGGGGTCCTTCGTGGTCTCTGAGCTTGATGGCTTTCTTACAGGCGTTTCATTACCAAACTAGGTAACATCATCAGTGCTACCTAAAACTAAACCCCAGAATCAAGGAGGCCCCAGAGTCTGAATGGGTGGTCAACATGTCCAGCCATCCACTATCTACTGCAGAACACAATATTTTACAGAGAGGCCTCCACTTCAATACAGGTGATGCTGATCAACTAGAATTCTAGAAGGAACATTTAAAACCAGTAGCACTGATGATGTTACCTAGTTTGGTAGCGAAATGTCTGCAGGAAAACCTGCCAAGCTCAGAAAGCATCAAGGAACCCACAGTTCAACCCTGACCTACAAATATTCTCTTCGATGCTATGTATGGAGACTGAAAGATTAATTACAGTGTTTTGGGTTTTTTTCATTTCAGTTTTTTGGAATGCTTGGGATCTGCGTGTTGGCCTGCAAGAAGGAAAGCAGCGGGTATCAGCCCCTGAGCACCGGGGTGTTCGCCTGACCACGAAATGGAGGGATTTTCCTTTTGGGATTTCCGTAAACAAAGATGGAAAGGTGTCTTGAGCAGAAAGCATTAGCCCATTTTTTATGAAATCCCAAAGGAGATTACACTGGCTTTCAGAAGTCCTATTAAAGGTGAAATAGTTGGCATTAACATCCTCATAAGCCTGAGATTTGTCTGATGTAGTTGAAATTAAGGTGCCCTTGTTTTAACAGCAGATGGAGACATTCGCCGGAAAAGACAGACCAGCGTCTGCGATTCCAGTGTCTGATGTAATTTGTGAATCTATCCTTGAATAGACTTAAAGAAATTATTTTTTACACCAGTCATATTTTCCCCCCAGATTGGTTGGGCCAGAGGCACATGGTAAAGGGCTAGGGGCTTATAGAAAATCTCTAAAATCCAGTGGAAATGGCTAAAAGTTAAGACGTTTTGAAATCCACTCTGAGGTAAATGTTGAGAACTTAGCATGCCTTGGATTGAAACTGGATTCTTCTCCCAAGAAAAACTGCAGGTACGAATGCCGACAATTGCTTTTACTCTAGACCAGGGGTAGGCAACCTTGGCTCTTTTATGACTCGTGGACTTCAGCTCCCAGAATTCCTGAGCCAGCTGTGCTGGCTCAGGAATTCTGGGAGTTGAAGTCCACGAGTCATAAAAGAGCCAAGGTTGCCTACCCCTACTCTAGACTGACGTTTTCTGGAGTAACTTGGAGATTTAGACATAGGCCGACTTCATCTGGGAGTGATCAGCTTTTCTAACAGATTATCCATTACATTTCTGATTGTGTGAATTCTTCTGCTAGGAAGTTGAGTTAGGTCGGAAATGCATGTAGATTCCTAATCTCCCTTTTTTTAGCTCCTGATGTTGAATGTCTAATTCTGGTGGTAAATTGACAATTCATATAAGGGAAGCACAATAACGTTATAACATAATCCCTAAAATAGGCTTCAGACTTTAAGCCAGGGGTGTCCAACCTTGGTAACTTTTAAGACTTGTGGACTTGAACTTCCAGAATTCCCTAACCCCCCATGTTTGTGGGGAATTCTGGGAGTTGAAGTCCACAAGTCTTAAAAGTTGCCAAAGTTGGACACCCGTTTTAAGCAAAGAAAGACATACTCTGCTCTAAATAGCAATCATAGCCTCATCTCTGAAAAAAATATACTTCTTGTTATCATTGCATCCTTAGTTCTAGTCTGTCAAAACTAAGTACAATTCCTAGCTATAAATTTGTTCAGCTACAGAACAAAGTGTTGCTAGAATCCTTCAGAAGTGATGGATTAATTACTTATTCCCAGCCATATCTACACGGAGTAGTTATGTACTCCAGAGACACCAGGTTAGAGAAGGCTGATCTAAATGTTTGTGGTTTGACTTTTTTTTAATCTTTATTCACTGGATGCTCCAGGTTGAATACAGCCTATTTTTGGCCCAATAATCCAGTATGCACCACAGTTGGGTAAAATTTCAGGATGTGCCTGGAAATATATTAAAAACTAGCTGTACCCAGCCACGCGTTGCTGTGGCTCACTCTGGTAAAAGCGCATGTTGCTTTTACGTCCAACAGATGGCGCTGTTTTTCAAAAACATGTTTTTACCTGTCACAGGTGTGACATCTATATAATATAGGTATATAAAAACGCGCGCGTATTCGAATGCAACGTTGTGTCAAAATTTCAAAGCAATCGGTGAAGAACCTTTGGAGATTTAAGATTTTGAACAAACGAACATTTACATTTTTATTTATATAGATGTGATGCTACTTTCATTCCAATAGCAGCTGAGCTTGATATTAAACTTTTTCTCCAGATGAAGGATGTTGACTTGCTGGGGCACGGTCAGATGCATTCTTTATCTTTTGTCTTCTTGTTTTTGTGAGCAGAGAAGCAACTTGGATAGCATATGTATTGCTGTGGGGAAAAGCAAGTTTTGTTTTTTTTCAAACCATTTTTCTTTAAATTTTGAGTATTGTATAGCTACTACATTACACAAAGAGCCTCCTGAAATCCTAAATAAAATAGTTCAAAAATAAAAAGTGCAGTATTTTATTTCATTTAAAAATAACAGGAGAATTGAAAAAGCCAGTGTGTAAAATAGTTACACAAGGACAGTAAGATATTTTGGTTAAACCACTTGATTTGTGATGACTTCACAGGCAACATTGATAATATGGAAGGATTTTGCTAGTGTCCTGTTCTGGAAATATTATTTTTTCCCCCAATTTTAATTTATTTTCTGGGTTTCTCTCATACATGGAATGGCAAAATATTCAATTACTTTTCTACAATTTGCTGTGGAATACACCTACCGCATACGATAAAGAAAGTCTCTAGATCAGGGGTCCCCACCCCCCAGTCTGTACTGGTACTGGACTGACACTGGTCCGCAGCATGCCAGCAACTGGTCTGCACAAACAAGCAAAGTCCCATCCGTGGGATGCAGGCAGCACACAAAACCACGCACCCTCCAGTCCGTGGAAAAACCTCTCTCTATGGAACCGGTCCCTGGTGCCCAAAAGGTTGGGGGCCTCTGCTCTAGATGAATTCAGGCCCTCATGAGTCGACTTACACTTTCATGGAGCTGGCAGCATGGTGGTGCTATGTACAGTAATTGCTACCTTTTTAAAAAAAAATTTAAATGTCCCAGTCTAGCCTTGAGCTCTGGAATCTCTTGGTGGTCTCCCATCCAAGTGCCAATCAGGCTCATCCCTCATGAGTTTCAGAATCCAGTCAAGATCTGCCAGGAACAGAATGATGAGAATGAGGAAGGAGAAGCCAGACTATCCTGTTAAAGCAATTTGTTTGGTATGACTGCATTCATACAACCCATGATTGAACCAGTCCTTATGTATTATACATGAAACATCAAACCACAGGATGTCCAATGAGTCGCAAAGGCACAAACGACACAAAAGACCTGGTTAAAACGAACTAAGTATATTGTGTGAATGCAAGACTAGATTATTTTTTTTTACCTTGTGTGTGTTAGATAAGTCCAGTTTACACCTAAGAACCGTGCTGAATGGTTTTGCTAAGCTTTCCAAAATAACTTGGAAACTGGTTGCGAAGAAACGATCACTATCGCTGGACTTCAGCATTCCCTTTGCTTGGATATGGGAAGTGTTGCATTCCCAGTTTCACCCCTCACTTCAGGCTTCCATTCGGCTACAACTGCATTGTAAGACTGAATAAAGACACAGATTTTACTGCCTTAGACTTAGTTCAGTGTTGCTGCCATTATAAACAACAGTTGCAGGAATTGGGTATGGCTAATCTAGTGAAAAGAAGGACTAGGGAGGTGACATAATAGCAGTATTCCAATATTTGAGGGTCTGGCACGAAGAAGGGGGTGTCAAGCTATTCTCCAAAGCCCCTGAAGGCAGGACAAGAAACAACGGATGGAAACTAATCAAGGAGAGAAGCAACCTGGAACAAAGGAGAAATTTCCTGACAACAGTCGACCAGTGGACCGGCTTGTCTTCAGAAGTTGTGGGTGCTCCATGACTGGAAGTTATTAAGAAGAGACTGGATAGCCACTTGTCTGAAATGGTAGAGTCTCCTGCTCGAGCTGGGGGCAGGACTAGATGACCTCCAAGGTCCCTTCCAACTTTGTTATTCTGTTTTTGTTCTGTTATTTCTTTGGTCAGAATTCCTGCCATGAAGTATGGGTAGTCCTTGACTTACAAGCACAACTGAGCCTAAAATTTCTGTTGTCAAGTGAGGCAGTTGCTAAGTGAGTTGTGCCTCATTTTATGCCTTTTATTACACAGTTGTGAAGCGAATCACTGTGGTTGTTAAGTGAATCATGATGTAGTCGTTAAGCAAATCTGACTTCCCCCATTGACTTTGCCATCTGGGAAGATTAGGGCTGGTGATCACATGACCCAGGACAACGCAGCTGTCAAAAATACATGCCAGTTGGCAAGTGCCCAAATTCTGATCACGTGACGATGGGGATGCTACAGTGGTCATAAGTGTGAAAACTGGTCATAAGTCATTTTTTAAAGTGCTGTTGTAATGGTCACTAAACGAATGGTTGTAAGTCAAGAACTACCTGGAACTCAAGATCTCGGCATACAGCAATTAACATAGAGGGCCGGCACCTTGTGTATAGAATTCATAGATTGGCACCTTGTGTATAGAATTCATAGATTCACTACAGCAGTGTTTCTCAACCTTGGCAGCTTTAAGATGGGTGGACTTCAATTCCCAGAATTCCTCAGCCAGTGGGGAGTTCTGGGAGTTGAAGTCCACCCATTTTAAAGCTGCCAAGGTTGAGAAGCACTGAATTATAGGCATATTTTTAATAGAATTTTGGCTTTTGGATGGTTTTCTCTTCTTTCTGTCATATTCTTTTTTGCCTTTGCCTCTCGGACATCTGACTCTGGGCTGCAGAAATGTGAACGACCATGTGAGGACAGGAATTGCCTATTTCTTTGCTACCGTCCAGATCAGCGTTTCTCAATCTCAGCCTTTGTGGGGTTAGACTAGATGACCTCCAGGCTCCCTTCCAACTCTGTTACTCTGTTCTTCTTTAAGATGTAGGGACTTCAGCTCCCAGAATTCTGCTGACTGGGGAATTCTGGGAGCTGAAGCCCATTCATCTTAAATCTTTGCAGGTGGCCAGTCCTATCACTGATTGTCTGAAAGGAAAAACTTCATCTGAGCAAAACTTCAGAGCAGGGCTCTTCCAACTTGGGCCTTTTATGACTTGTGGACTTCAACTCCCAGAATTCCTCAGCCAGGCACGCTGTGCCTGGCTGAGGAATTCTGGGAGTTGAAGTCCACAAGTCATAAAAGGGCCAAGTTGGAAGAGCCCTGCTTTAGAGTCTGCCCCATTGATAAAGTTCCCCTATACCTGTCAATTCAGATGCAACGCCCCCCCCCCTCCGTTTAGTTCAAACCAAAGTTCTGAGCCCTTTTCTCCCCAACGGATAAATCCGGGTTTTTTTTCCCCTCCCAAGTATGGCAGCGCTGCACGACTCTATCATTTCTATCTCCCAACCCTTGTGTGCCGCTCTATGTTTCTCGTCTATGGCTAACCTCCTCGCCTCTCGTAAGGGGATGGCTAAACTCGTCCCTCCCTCCCGAGACCGGAAAGGAGCACCGGCAACGCCTCCGCGGCGAGAGGAGCGAGTTCTCGCGCGATTTGGGACGCCCAACCGCTTGGGCGGGTCGTTTGAATGTGAGCGAGTCGCCGCCGGAGGGAAATTCTGGGTTTTGCGTGGAGCGGCGACCCCGGAGATGGAGGATGGGGGGGCGAGCCTGGCCTCTCCCGGTGAGACCCCGACGCCCTTGGGGGACTTTCTTTCCAGCACAGTGTAAAGCAATGTTAATGTTTATTTATGCATGCATGCATGCATGCATGTTTATTTATTTGTTTACTCCAGCCGCCCATCTCAAAACAGAGGCTCTGGGAGACTTAAAATTCCAAAATTATAATATTTTAATATTGCATTGATTAAAATAAATATTTAACGGTATGTAACCATTGTTATATTTGATATTATAAAATAATTGCATTACATGTTGTGTTGCTCTTATACCACATTATTATAATTTGGAATTAATTAACTTACATGTTGTGTTGCTCTTATACCACATTATTATAATTTGGAATTAATTAACTTCTATTCATATATAAGATAACCTTTATTGTCATTTTTTTACTGTGGCCGCTCTCAAAGTGTAACACATACATGACACACACCTAAACATAATTAGAACAACATATGTATAGACCCATATCCCTACAGATATGTAACCAATAAATACTAAATACTGTCCATCTTGAATACATACCGGAAGGAGGAAGCTTGAGAGTTCACAAGGTTAATGCTGTATGGAATGAAACTATGGCTGAATATGGATGTTCTGCTACAGATACCACGAAGCCTCTTCCCCGTGTGTGTGTGTGTGTGTGTGTGTGTGTGTGTGTGTGTGTATACAAACCCTATTTCCCTTTTAGCATTTTTGGAATTGGCCATGATTCTTTTGGAAAACTATTTAATAGTTTTAATAAAATACAGCTACTCTATGTGTTGTAAGTAAAGAGATCAATTGTTCCTCATTCCCAACTAAAGAATGTTTTTATTTTTTATTTTTGAACTGGACTTATGATATTTAATATTTCTGCTATTTGTTTGTAGGCAGATCTGTACAAATACTCGTATCCTTAGAAAAGTGAAAATGTTCTGTAAAAAGTGCCATTATAATACCTCTATTTTCATTCTAATAATGTTTAATATATTTTTATAATACTTTTTTTCCTATTTCTGTCTTTGTGTCCCCTTTACCTATGATATTATATATTTTGTATCTATTGCAGATAGACAAAAATACTTGTTTTTCTTACAAAGTGAAAATGTGTAAAACAACATTAGCTATTGTAACCTTTAAAACTGAACATTAGTCTATTTTTCCTTCTTCCTCCTTAAAGCAAGAACATGGGATACAATCTCTTCAAACTTAAATGACCTATGCTTTCATCTCAACTCCAAGATCTCAAATATCAAAAAGTCACTTCAGCTGAGAAAAATAGGTAAGAAAATGTCATTTCTTTAGGGCAGAACTGGTGTGCTTTATGCAATAGTGCTTTGTAAGTTGATCTGGGAGTCTGGGAACATATGCATGGAGAATGCCAGTCTGATGAATATACTTGCGGACTATTTCATTCCCTTTATACAAAGCATAAAACTATGGAATTTACTGCCATCAGTGACGGTATCTTGAGATAGTTTTACAATCAGACTAAATAATTATATAAATTAATGCTACAGTAATTCCTGAATCACAGACAGAATATCTTAAACAATCACAAAAGCGTTATTGCTTTCCTGATCCTGCTGCAAGCTTCCTCAATGCATCTGCTTAGTCGCTGTTTGATGCAACATTTTATTTATTTATCTGTATCCCACCTTTATTATTTTTACAAATAACTCAGGGCAGCCAATATATCCAACACATCTTCCTCCTATTTTCCGTACAACAACAACAACCCAATTACCCTGTGGTAAGATGGCTGGCCAATAAATTTTATAAATATTATAAACCTTGTGAGGTGCTGAGACATGTGACTAGTCCAAAGTCACCCAGACGGCTTTCATGGCTAAGATGGGACTTGAACTCAGGGTCTCCTGCTTTCCAGCCTGATGCCTTAACCGCTAGACCAGGGGTAGGCAACCTTGGCTCTTTTATGACTCGTGGACTTCAACTCCCAGAATTCCTGAGCCAGCACAGCTGGCTAAGGAATTCTGGGAGTTGAAGTCCACGAGTCATAAAAGAGCCAAGGTTGCCTACCCCTGCGCTAGACCAACCTGGCTCTCAAAGGCTGGACTGTGAATACTTAGAGAGGTATATTTGGAAGAGGCTTTAGAAGATACCACATCTGTTCCTCAGATCAGGATGCACTGCAGCATCCCTGGGAGAGGACCCCAGAGCTATTATTGGAAGATCTCTGTTGAAAGAAAACTCACACTTCATGTGGCAGCCAGTCTCCCTAGATGGCAGCTTCCGCAGCCGTGGACCTACTTCCTCACAGTTTTAATTCACGGTGTTTTGTCCCTTTGGAACTATGGTGCCCAGGACTGGACATCACACTCCAAATCCTGTCTGAGTAGGGCAGAGTAGAACATCTGTTTCCCAGGGTCTGGTTCAGTGCTCCTCTTAAGGCATCCCAGGATAGTTTTTGCCTAGCAGCTACAGCCCTGCTGGCTCATGTTTTGGTCAGTCCCGCAAAGCTCTTCTTGAATGACCGGCATCAAAACCCATGTCGTCTAGAGGTATTATCGGCTTGGAGGATGGCCAACTGCAGTTGCAGAAAGATTGCGAAGGAGAAGACTTCAGAAAGCCATTTTCAGAGCTAACAGGATGAGGAAATGGCTTGTGTTCCACATAAAGCAATTTTGGATTAGGCCTTTTGCTTTACCTTTTTTCCATGCTATGATTGATCTTCTTTATTTGTAGACCAGGACCCATCTTTGAAGACAGTGCTCAATAAGGTAGTCCATGAAATGTTCCTCTTAAATAGCCTCCTCAATAAATTGGAAGAGGAGTATCATCATCAGTGGAGACTACAGAAAAAACTCAAGGTACTAACGACATTTGATGCCTCAGAATCTCAATAAAATGTACCTTCTGACCTCTACAGATGTTAAGCATCTAAAGCAAATGCTGTGCCTCTTGCCCACATTACACCAGTGGTTCTCAGCCTTTTCTTCACCATGGGCCCCCTTTGAATACCTTTTGTGGCCATGGACCCCCAAGACGTAACTCGAGATTTAAATCCTAACATTTCTTCAAGCCTTTGTGGACCCCCTGTGACGACATTGTGGCCCTTCAGGGGTCCCTGGACCACCGGTTGAGAACCACTGGATTACATTATTCTAGAAAGTTGTTATAGTGCGGAGGACCAAGAGTTACAAATTAATCCTAACTATTAATCTCACGTCCTACCTTACAGGTGGTCCTTGACTTACAACGGTTCATTTAGCGACTGTTCAGAGTTGTAACGGCACTGAAGAAAGTGAATTTTGACCATTTTTCACACAACTGTTGCAGCATCCGCAATGTCACGTAATCAAAATTCAGAGGCTTGGCAACCGGCTCGTATTCATGACGGTTGCAGTGTCCCCTGGTGTCATGTAATCACCTTTTGGGACCTTTTCACAAGCAAAGTCAGTGGGGAAGCTGGATTTCACTAAATGGCCGTGTTACTAACTTAACAAATGCAATGATTCACTTAACTGTGGCAAGAAATGTAAACTGGGGCAAAATTCACTTTAAAAATGTTTCACTTAGCAACACAAATTTTGGGCTCAGTTGTGATTGTAACTTGAGGACGACCTGTATTTCACTCTCAGCTACAAAAGCTTAGTGTGTTTGGGGAACTGTCTGATGTATGTAGTAAAATTACTAAAAGCTGCTGCTTGTGGCAACGGAGTGAAGGTCCCTGCATAAGCTACCTTGAGTTCCTAAAGGGTGGGAAATAAATCTAGTAACTACGTGAAAAGTAAATAAAGTGTGCAACTTATTTTAACTTAACTCAGGGTGACTAAAAATAAGATTTGCACATTACTAGAAATCAACAGAAGCCTCTAAATCAGTGGTTCTCAACCTTTTTAATGCTACGACCCCAACCGGTCGTAAGTCGAGGACTTTCCCTGCCCGGGAGCGCTGCGCATGCGTGGTTCCGCCCCCTGCGCCGGCCGAGGCATAGCTGGCAAGCGGCAGAGACAGAGCAGGCCGACCACCAGCTGGCCCAGCCCAAGGGATATAAGGCACCCGCCGGAAAAGGGGAAAAAATGGCGGACAGCCTTGCTTGGTGACCCCCATGAAATGGTCGATCGACCCCAAATGGAGTCCCGACCCACAGGTTGAGAACCATTGCTCTAAATACATGGATTAATGCAGAATAGGATGGAATTTCTATCACTAGTATAATTGAAGTGTTTTCATTAGGCATCAAAAGAATTCTACCATGGTTTTTGATGTGAAAATACTAATTATTTATAATATTTTGAAAACAAACATTTCAGGAGGCCCCTGGATTCTTTTTCTATGCCTTAAGGCAAGCGATCATTGTGCTCCGATTGTTCCTACGAGTGTTCTGTATTTCTTCCTGTATGTACTCAGCTGTATGAGACCTCCAAAACAGATTTAGCTTAAACCATTTCTGGAGATCGCCTCTCCCCTACGTGATTTTTCTCCATCTTCCCAAACTCCAGTCTTGTGCAGCACTGGTATTTCTGATTGCAGGAGCTGCAGGCGTCGGTGGAGAGGGACTATCTGGAGGCCCAGCGTCTTGGAGAGAATGTGCCCATCTACCTTCCCCAAGCCACACAAGGCAGGTCTGTGTCCTGTCAATCACCTTGGCTACCAAGGGGCAAAAGAGGGGCGTACTGTGAAGAAACAGCCAGGGTTTTGCACATTTTACGTGGTTTTATAATCACACTAAACAATTATATGGAGAATTAATGCTATAGTGATTTCCTGAATCGCAGGCAGGATATCTTAAACGACCACAAAAGCGTTGCTGTCTTCCTGATCCTGCTGCAAGCTTCCTGAGTGCATCTGCTTAGTCGCTGTTTGATGCCCCATTTTATTTATTTATAGTCACTGGCGTGGTGAGCTTTTGATTATTTATTTATTTATTTTATTTATTTAATTGCATTTATATCCCGCCCTTCTCCTTGCGGACTCAGGGCGGCTGACAATGATTAAAATACTAACATATACATCTAATTAAAAATTGATTAAAAAGAAATATTTAGATACGTCAAATTTAAAAGTAATTAAAACCCCTTTAAAATCCCTTAGGCCAGTTCCGCGAGCTGGAACAACCACGTCTTGAGGGCGCGGCGGAAGGAAGGGAGATCAGGGATCACCCTGATCTCTGGGGGCAGTTCGTTCCAGAGGGTGGGTGCTCCCACAGAGAAGGCCCTCCCCCTTGGGGTCGCCAGCCGGCACTGTCTGATGGACTCTCCGTTTGCATTCCAGTTCGGTAGGCATAGCTCTAAAGGAGAAGGAACCGTGCAAGGCTGAGGAGAATAAAGCCTCAAAGAAGTCGGCCAAAGTCTCCAAGTGCATCCGAGAAGCGCCCTTCATAACGGCAGAGGAGTTTGAGAACGTTCCCGCGTGAGTAATCTGCAAACGGGAAAGTTGCCCTGCATTTTTATAGCTCTTTTTCCAGAGCGGTCCCAGTCTGGCGCTGGCTGCCATTGGGCTGGATCTGAACCATCATAATGCCCAGCCAGTGCAGGATGATAGGCATGAAAGCTGGCTGGGTGGCTTTGGGCCAATCACCAGGAGACGGTGAGTTCTAGTGCCGCCTTAGGCACGAAAGCCAACTGGGTGACTTTGGGTCAATTGCCAGGAGACGGAGCGTTCTAGTCCCACCTGAAAGCTGACTTGGTAACTCTGGGCCAATCACCAGGAGACGGGAAGTTCTAGTCCTGTCTTAGGCACGGACGCTGGTTGGGTGACTTTGGGCCAATCACCAGGAGACGGGGAGTTCTAGTCCCACCTTAGGCACGAAAGCCCTCTGGGTGACTTTGGGCCTGTCATTCTCTGTCAGCCCAACCCACCTCACAGGGTGGTTGTTGTGGGGAAAAGAGGAAGAGGAGGAGATGTTCATCATCTTCAGTTGTTTATAAAGCACAGAGAGCCCTTGGCTCAGGGCCACAATTGAGTCCAACATTTCCATCACTAAACAAGACAGTTGTTGAGCGAGTTTTGCCCCATCTTACGATCTTTCTTGCCACAGTCGTTCAGTGAATCACTGCAGTTGTTAAGTTTGTCATAGGGTTGTTAAGCGAATCCGGCTCCCCCGTTGGCTTTGCTTGTCAGAAGGTCGCGAAGGGATCACGTGACCCTGGGACAACGCAACCGTCGTAAGTACATGCCAGTTGCCAAGCATCCCAGTTTTGATCACTTGGCCTTGGGGATGCTGCAACCGTCACAAGTTACTTTTTTCAATGCGGTTGTAACTTCGAACGGTCACTAAGCGAATGCTTGTAAGTTGAGGACTATGTGTAAGATAAAGGTGGGGGGAATTTAATAAATAAATAGTGGTTAGGGGATTATGGGTGTTGAGGTCCAGCATGTGGACTTCCGAATGAAGTGAGGTGGCTTCGGGATTGGATAATGCGCCATTCTCTCTGATTTTCTGTTCCTCTCTCTCCCCAAGCATAAAAATGAGGCAAGGTTCACGGTTAGCGTGCCGTTCTTGTTACACGATGAAAACGAAGGCGCCGTTCTTACTTCCTTTTCCTAGTCCAATGGTGGTGAACCTATGGCACAGGTGGCACTTGGAGCCCTCTCTGTGGGCACACGTGCTGTTGCCCCAGCCTTGCCTCCCCCCGCGACCCTCTCCAGCAGCCCCCCTGGAGGAGAGTCGCCACCAAGCGTGGCCCACCCGGAGCAGTGCAGCCAAGGACATGGCAGCCAGGCAGCGTAGACAAGACTCTGCCCACACACCCCATCATGCACAGTTGATGCTGCGGGGCGCGGGCAGAGGGCATGGCTGCCATGGCGCTGCTGGGCGATCTGCGGCAGGCCCTGGAGGCGGTGAGTGGCCCTCACCGCCTCACCGATCTGCGGGCAGGCGGAGTGGGGGCGGGGCATGGGGTGGAGCAGGGGCGGGGCCAGTTTTTGGGCACTCGGTCTCTAAAAGGTTTGCCATCACTGTCCTAGTCCAAGGGACGATCCTGAGCCCAAACGATATATTTTGTCGCTTCTTTAAAACGTAAACACCCGCAGAGCAGCTGATAGATTTAGCCGCATGTGATTGGGTCCGGTGCTGCTGCTCAGTGATTTGGCCACGTAACTGGATCCCTGGTCAGTTTTTATTGGATGACCATAAGCTCGGAAAGCAGCCGGATCAATAACCCTCTCCTCAAATGTGTCTCAAAATGTCCTGTGGGCCGAAAGACGATGTGGAGATTCAAGTCACGACTCGAAGCTTGACTGAGGCCTTTTCCGGGACTCCCCGCGGGCAACAAGGGCCGGCTGTGCTGCCAAAGGGGGCGGAGGGGCAAGCGCAGGTGGGCGGAGGCAGCCGGACCTCCCGACTCAGCTATGCAGTCGTTGCGCGGAGATGCGCATCCTGCATGCTGATCGGTTGATCCAACTCCCTGTTGGGAGGTGGAGATTTTGAGTGCGCCCGCCCCCCAGATAGAATATTAATATTCCAGGTAGTCCTCAACATACAACAGTTCACTTAGTGACCGTTCGAAGTTACAACGACACTGAAAAAAGTGCTTTATGACCGTTTTCACTCTTATGACTGTTGCAGCATCCCCACGGTCACGTGGTTTACATTTGCATGCTTGGCAACTGGTTCATATTTACGACGGTCGCAGCATCCTGGAGTCGTAGGATCCCCTTTTGCAACCTCCTGACAAGCAAAGTCAGTGGGGGAAGCCAGATTCGCTTAATAACCGTGTGACTCACTTAGCAGCAGCAGTGACTCACTTAACAAATGTGGCAAGAAAAGTTGTAAAATGGGGCAAAACCCACTTAACAAATGTCTCACTTAGCAATATAAATTTTGGGCTCAGTTGTGGTCGTAAGTTGAGAGCTGCCTGTATAACATCATAATAACATTGCGGTGATCAGAAGTGTGAGTGCAACTGCTACACAACCGTCTCCGAACAACGGACGCAGATGTTCCCTGGTATGCAGTGACTCTGGAGTCTATAACTCCAGCTCTTCAATGGTTCCAATGGGGATTCAGAGGAAGCCAGAATCTGAAACCCAAAAGCCAAAAAGGTGGAGGGAGGTAACCATATTAAGAAAGACAAAATCCCTGCAGATGTTGAGTCACACGGTTGTTAAGTGAATCTGGCTTCCCCCATTGACTTTGCTTGTCAGGAGGTCGCAAAAGGGAATCACATGAAACACCCCACCCCCCCCCCAGACACTGCGACCGTCATAAATACAGGCCAGTTGCCAAGCGTCTGAGTTTTGATCGCATGACCCTGGGGATGCTGCGGCAGTCATAAATATGAAAAATGGTCATAAGTCACTTTTTTCCGTTCTGTTGTAACTTTGAACAGTCACTAAAGGAACGGTTGTAAATCAAGGACTGCCCGTATAGCAAAACACATCTTGGAAGGTTGATTCCCTCTGTTCCTCTTGTTTTAAGATGTTGTTTGGGTCTCAAAAGATGGCCAGACTTTACACATGGCCCTTGTCGCTGGCATCTGCACATCTTGCTCAGCTGCAAGGAAATTCTGGAAATGATGGCAATGGCGTCTCAGACTTTCTACTCGTATTCTTCACGGGTCTGTGTCGTTCTCCCGGGACCTCCCCCCGTGTCCTTTGGAAATCGTGCCTTCGGTGTTCCTGGTTACGTTAAGCAGCTCTTCTCTTCTCCCCTGCAGGTACATGAAAGGCCGTCTCACCCACAGCCAGGTGAACGCGGTCGTGGTCGAGATCAACAAAGCTGTGGCTAGCAAGTACAGCATCATGCGCCAGCCTGTGAAAACCATGGTGAACGCAACCAGGAACCTCTACTTCCGATTCCAGGAAGAGGAAACCAAAGACACAAAAGGTGAGCGGTCGAGGGAAGCGCGGGCCTCTCCGTGCCCCGGGAAGGGAACCCCTGGCAGTCTGGCTAGTCCTGGACTCATGAGGACGGCTGGCACCAGAATTTCCATGGCTGAGCAGGGTGGAGAACAAGTCAGTTGTGGCCTGGGTTTATGACCTTTTTTGTCAAGAGTTATGAAATGAATCACTGCAGTTGTTAAGTGAACCACGCGGTGAACAGGGCTGTCCCCGCTGGCTTTGTTGGAGGCCAGCTGGGAAGGTCGCAAGGGGTGATCACGTGACCCTGGGATACGGCAACCATCGCAAATACACGCCCGTTGCCAAGCAGCTGGATTTTGACTACGTGATCCTGGGAGGGCTGCAACTGTTGTAACTACAAGCACCAGTCATAAGTAACTTTTTTCAATGCCGTTGTGACTTTGAACAAGTGCTAAATGAATGCTTGTACGTTGAGGACTTACCTGTACCCATCCCTCACGACCTAGAAGGCAGTAAGTTGGAAAGATGCCAGTCTTGATGCCAATTTTCCCCAGTGAAAGTCAAGTGTGACATCTAGTTCCATACCTGAAAGGTGTTGCCAGCTTTAAAGGTGCGGATGCTTATTTCAGTCCTTAAAGATGGCCTGTGCTAGACACAAATTGGGTTGTGGGAAGCTGCCGGTGGAACCACGTCATAGCTTGTTTAATCACAATGAATGCAACAAAGTTGCTGAATTCACAACATGCCTAGTCCAACACTGTGACTTAGCGCAATGTGTGAACCAGCCCCAGAATGAGGACACTGGTCTCGCTAGCTCTCTTTTCAGTCTGCGTTGATTGGGTCCCAGGATTTCAGAGAAGGGCTTTTCTCGGACTTGCGCGAAGATGTTGGGGTTGAACTGGGTGCTTTTACAATCAACCCTTTGGGGTGTTTTTCCGTGCTGAAAGAACTGGTGGGCTTTCCCAAGAAATAGGACTGCAGCCCAAGCCACATTTCCTTTAGGATGAAAATTCATGGCTTGGCAACACGTGCTTTGTACAAAGAAGTCTCTGAGTTGAGTTTCTAACATCTCCAATTCTGTAAAAAAAATAGTTATAAATGGATAATTGGGAGGAACGCACCGTATTCTCTAAAAACCTGGAGATCTTCGGGTAGATCAGATTGATGGTGGCTAGGTGGACCAACGGTCTAGCTAGCTTGATATTAGACGGCGTGGTATTCTAGCATTCTTGGGCACCTTCATGAGAGGTCTTTCCTTCGCTTGTCTTAGACCAGTGATGGCGAACCTTTTAGAGACCGAGTGCCCAAACTGCAACCCAAAACCCACTTATGCATTGTCAGGTGCCGGGTGGGCGTGGCCCATTGGGTGGGTGTGGCCCATTGAGTGGGCGTGGCTGCGGTGGTAACGGCAGACTGGGTGGGACTAAAAAGTTCAATCAATCAATTCCAACTTTGCAAGATCTTTTTTTTTCCCACGAGAAGTTGAAATTGACTGATTGATTGAACCTTTTTTTTTTTTTTCACACGGCGGTGGAGGCCTAAAGTGAAAAGGTTTTATAAAACCCAGCTGAAGGCCTAGGACTGGGGCGATGGTGTGTGTGCCCATAGAGAGGGCTCTGAGTGCCACCTCTGGCACCCGTGCTATAGGTTCGCCACCACTGTCTTAGAACATAGTAGTCAAGATGGAGCCTCCCATTGATCTGATTTTCCATTGTGTTTTTGCTTAATTGGTATTGGAATTGGTATTTTGCTTAATACCTACTAGGACCCTACTAGGTTCCTGACGGAGCTTGGGCCATATCCGGAGGATCTAGTTCATGGCTCAGCGGAAAATCAGGCGGCAGCTTGGGAAATGACCGCTGCCGCAGCACTAGACCAAGTCGTGCCTTTGCGGCCTCTGACCCGGCATAGATCTCGACTGGCTCCTTGGTTTACCGAGGAGCTGAGAGAGATGAAACGCCGGAAAAGACGCCTAGAGAGCAGCTGGAGGGCCAGCCGAACCGAATCCGACCGAACACAGGTAA